TTCCTTCTAAAGCCGATTAGATGTGGCTCAGAGCTTGTCCAATGTGTTTGCTTCAAAACTTGAGCAAATTATTTGGCCCAATATATGGGCCAACCCAATGTGTTGGGCCAAAATGACCAACTTTTTAATGGTGACACCCAAGAGTACCAATGATTTATGCCCAAATGTTTTGCCATACTTTTACGCTCATCATTCTACTACACAAGGGAGATTTTGGTATTTAAAATAGGATGGGAACTCACAAAACTATATGATTTAAGAAATTGAAGGTCAATGCATCACTTTAATGTTCATATACATTTTCCCAATCATTTTTCACATCGATTTAAATATAGGATCTTGTTAGGTTTAGATCTTTGTATTGGTAACTAAGTACCCCATAGTCCGATAGTCCCATACCATTATAATTTCCATTGTCACCCACCCTAACCTCCCATGCCCAAATTCATTTACTAATGCTCCATACTTGTACTTTAGACCTGTCGAATTCACTCAGCATGACACCAAATCACCCAAATCCGATTGAATAACCAATTCGATAACTCTAACTACACCTACGTGGTATAGATGAACACCGAAGGAGAACGTAAGAAGAATAACTACTTGAACAAACAATTTGACCCATCACAACCATCCGATCAAAGTCAATGAAAGTAATGGACGGCCAATACCAAATAATGCTTGATGGGAGCTTTTCTTTTCCATTCGAAGCAACCAAAATATATAAACCAAAAAAATCAAGCAAAATGGATAATTTTATTTAAGATATTTCAAAAATTATGAATAAAAAAAATTAGCAAAATCCCAAATTTGTTGTTTAGCAAGAGAAAAATAGAGGACCAAACAAGGCCTTATCAAATTTTTAGCGTCTTTTCTTTCACTTCTGACGCTCATTATTTGATAATTCCCAGAAAAAATAAAATAAAAATAAAAGATAAATCATCTCCCGCGACCAGCAGGAGGAGAGAGAAAATCGAACATCATTTGCAATTTCCCAAGATTTTTCTCAGGTAATTTACATCTTTCTTCCCGTTTCTTTGATTTGATTACCTAGAACCCTAATTTATCGGCATAATAAATTTCCCTCTTAATTACGTCTTAATTCACCCTTTTTATGAGGTAATTCAAAGGGTTTTAACTTTTATTGTTTGTGTTTTTATTGATCATTTGTTAAATTATCATTTGTGGTTTTTGATTCCGTTAGAATTTTCTGTTTCTGGGTTATGATTTTTGTGGGGTAAATTTTATTATTTGGGAGGATGGGTGTTTGCCCTGTTTGGTTGTTGGTCAACTTTGAGGAGTGAGAAATTGGGGTGATGGGAAATATTATTTTGAAAGATCTTATTGATTTGTATATGGGTTATCAGTTTGATTAGAATTTTGTTGTAATTTATGGTTTTGAATCTTTTGATTATTTAGAGGTTTTACAAATTACAATTGATGTGGTATTAAAAAATGAGAAAATGTTTGTCTTGCTGAATTCAGCTCAAGGCCTTCAACATTTTAAATGTGGAGAAATTGGTGATATTCCCATGTGTGATTCGTAATTTATGTAGGTGTGCATCGTGATTGTTCCGAAAGCTTGTTGGGTGTTTGGTTCTTGTTATTCTGTAAGCTTGATAGATGCATGTTATAGTGGAAGTTTCTTGTTCCGTTGGTGGGGAAAGAACGAGCTTTCCTCAGCTGATTTTTCTGTATCTTTTGTTATGAATCCCAACCCTAATGTAGTATGAATATATAAGTGATGTAGTCTGCTTAGGCTTCTTGAGTTAGCTCTTTTTGGCTATGTTGTGAGATGGAATATTCAACTTTAATAGGGGTTCTTGAAAGTACCACTAATTAGCGATCAAGGTTTTGGTATATATATTTTTTTGTTTTCTTTGTTGGAAGCAATGTTCATATTTATTGAATTTTTTGTTTTTGGGAAAGAAGTGATGTACAGTTGGAAATTGCCTTAACATAACTTATTGTATGTTTGGGGCTTTGTATTGAAGTTAAGGTAGTGTTTGATTCAGCAGACATGGTATTCGCCTTTTGGGTTTTCAGTGAAGCAATCTTTATATTTATTTGACATATCATCCTTCGATCCTTTAATCAATTATTATTATCATATTGTTAATGTAATTGGCTAACATTATTCATTTAATAAGTAGCCAAATGACAAATTCACCTTATGTAAGTTGATCAATGGTTGAAGTTGGATTGTATGAGTAGGAGAGACAACCAAAAGTTGTTTAGAGAGATGACCATTATTAAGTAGATTAAGTGGACTTATTTGATGGGGTAAGGGAGGGTAAAGGAGAAGATTTTATTTTCGTAAAAGAATATGTGAAATAAGGAAGAATTTAAAGGAGTGGAATTAAACGGATAGAGAGAAGCACGCAAAAGAATGGAGGGAGTATCAGATAGCTAACATCTTAACTGTTTTTTGTTTATTCCCCTTGTATGAAGTTCATAATTTTTTATGAACATCAAATGTGAACCTGACTTTCTAGCTTTAGGCTGCTTTACTTGCTTTAATTTTGCTGTTTAAGTTCAGTTCGGTGGCATGATTTATACAACGTGAGTTTACTAAAGATGGTAGATTGAATTGTAGGGACTGTAGAGAAGATAAAGTATGAGTACATTAGATGTTCCCAGGGCAGAGCTTGCTCTTGCAGTTCTGTACTTGAACAAAGCAGAAGCCAGGGATAAGATATGCAGGGCAATCCAGTATGGCTCAAAGTTCTTGAGTGATGGACAGCCAGGTACAGCACAAAATGTTGATAAATCAACCAGCTTGGCAAGAAAAGTCTTCCGTCTCTTCAAGGTTTGCTCAAATTTTATCTTTTAATTGCAAATATATTTGATTGAATTGATTTTGGCAATATGAGGTTTTCTTCTGGTTTTGGGGGAGTATTTCCACTATGATTTTCTCTCTGAACCCTAGTAACAACATTTTGGCTTTTTAAATTGAAGTTGACCTAAGCTGACTTTTTCATTGCAGTTTGTTAATGATTTGCATGCTCTGATTAGCCCAGTTCCCGCTGGAACTCCTCTTCCCCTGACCTTACTTGGAAAGGTATTCAAGCTCATTGAGACATTGATTCTATACTCTAAGATAGATATCATATCTTAGATACTTGTATAAGATATCTATTAACCTTTATTTTTCTTTCCAGTCCAAAAATGCACTATTGTCCACATTTTTGTTCCTTGATCAATTTGTTTGGCTTGGTAGAAGTGGCATCTATAAGGTATGGGCTTCATTTTTTCTTTTTTCTGTTGATCTAGCACTCTAGCATGGTTTATATGATTCATACTTGATGAAAACTCAAATTTTGATTGATAGAACAAGGAGCGGACTGACCTGATTGCCAAGATTTCTCTTTACTGTTGGATGAGCTCCTCTGTTTGTACTTCTTTGGTTGAGGTTTGTTGTTTTCCAAAATCATTTATTTTACATTTTTGCTCCTGTAACTTGGGACTTTCTGCTATTGTGTTTCTTTATTAATTTAGGTGCTGCTGTTGACTTTCTTTAATTAGCTATTGGTACATAATATTTCAGATTGGGGAACTTGGAAGGCTTTCTGCCTCCATGAAGAAGTTGGAGAAGGAGCTCAAGGGTAGTGAGAAACATGAAGTAAGTGTTTTTTTGAGATACCTTGCTGGCTGTAGCTCATCTTTATATGTCTCCAATGTTAGCATTTTTGACTGTGTGGGACATGTTTGTGAATACAGAATGAACAATACAAAGTTAAGGTTCAGAATTATAACGACAGGTCATTGGCCTTGATTAAAGCCGCCATGGATGTAGTTGTAGCTGCTGGACTGCTTCAACTGGCACCCAAGAAAATTAATCCTCGGGTGACTGGGGCCTTTGGTTTTGCTACATCTCTCATATCTTGCTATCAGGTGCGTCCATGTTGCAAATCAATCCATTCCTTGGTTGAACATGCCTCCGTGTCTAGTTGTGCTTGTAGCGTGTCTAGATTGTTTCTTGCTTTGCATTTGAAACCTCATGCTACCATCATTAGCTGGCCGTTCAGTTTCAATTTTTGTCCAATATGGGACCAGTTTTATATTCTTTGAATTTAGAACCTGAAGTTCTGTGCTGTAAGCAGTAGAGGCTACTCAGGAGGATATGTAGGACATAATAGAATTGAGTAATGGTTTCAATTTGTATAGTTTTCTAACAATGAGGGTTCTGCGAAAGGTAGAGACCCAAATAATTCGACTAATTCCAAAAATGTTTGGTAAGGTTACAAAGTCCCACAGGGAATATTGCCTAATCTCACTCAATGAGAATTAAAGTAGCCATAGGACATATTAATCTGATCTAATATACGGAGAATGTAATTCAAATCTTCTCAAAATATACCTACTAAGAGGAAAGTTAGAAGAAACTACAAAAATCTGGTTTCAAACAGGGCTTAGTACATTTGAGAAATGTCATTCATGTGTGCATAATTGTGTGAAAACTGCCCAGTCATATTATCAAGCACTCGCATGATGTTTCCGTAACATTGGTCTATGATTACAGCGTTGTGTTTTATAATCAGTTGCCGGATTTGGTTCTAACTTCTTTCTTTGCCATATTTGATGCAGTTACTTCCTTCACGACCAAAGACCAAGACATCTTGAATAAGGAAATCATCTCCTTTCCTGCGGGCTTCAAATGATTATAAGAAGCCATGATCCATGTCTATGTATGCTTGGGTGAATCTAGATATTAAGTAGGGTGACATTCATTTAATTAAGAACTGGTACTGTATTTCTTTCTTGCCAAGTTTGTCCTCACAGTTCGCAATAGTAATATGTTTATTAATCTCGTTTAGTCAAGAAAGCACCGTTGTATTGTGTGGTTTGAAGTTAATATAGGCCATAAGCTTTTCTTGAATCTAACAATTTTTCCTCTTATCCTCCCTGCCCAAACATATGGTTTTTTTAATACAATACATGAACTGGTCGTATCTTGAATTACTCTTAAGCATATCCGGAAAGTGGAGAATGAAGCATAGAAGTCGGATGACCTAAACTGAATTTTAAGATAATAATCAGCTAAATGTATACTAGCCCATGGTGGCAAGAGATATGAACTCATTATCTACTTCAAGAGCACTCATTGCATCAGGTGGTAGGCATATCTCCAAATCTATGCTTTGTCCTCCTTCACTTCCTGGATAGGCAGTCACTTTTCCAGGAAACTTGTTTGCATACCCACTGTGAACAGCCACTGGTTTATCGACTCCAAAATCATTCCCGTACACATCAAACCTTGGGGAGCCTCCAATCACAGTGCTGTCTGGCTCAAAGAACGCATCAATCTGATAAACAAAAGGCGACTTCATCCAAGCCTCAAACACACTTCGCACTGTTTTATCAGTCAGTTCTAACACTGCGTTCTGCAGCAATTCAGCTGTCCATCCTAAACTATGGTCAATGACTTCATCAGCTTTGGCTGCAGCTTTAGCCACCCAAATTGAATTCCCAAAATAACCTTGAGGCAGTTGAGGGTTTAACCTCTGCCTCAGATTAGCATCCAAGGAGCAGGTAGTCTTCTGATCACCTGCTAAACAGCGTGCCCTGATAAGAGACCTCCAAACTAGCGCAGACAATGCTTGGAATGACGAGATCTCCTTATTAGTCTCTCCAACTTCTATGTTTGCCTTCATCTTGAGCTTTGATATTGACTCTGATGAGAAATGGAAGATTTTTTCTCTTAGTTGAGGTGCCTCATATCTGCTTATGAATTCATCAGTATGGATAAAGGGAAGGGTGACTCGTGGACCATATCCTTCAGGAAACCAACGTTCATGAATTGGTAGCTTTGACATCGAAATAGGACTTTGTTGCATATGTATCTCTAACCATATGTTCCAGAAATTCCAGTAAGCAGTTCCATCAGCTACTGCATGATTCGTTGAACAACCGATGAAAATCCCATCTACAAGCTCTGTTACCTGTAGCCAGAATTATACAATTAGATGCAGGACATCTTTTGGGAAAAAAACTTGAAAGAATGAAATGAAACCCCTGATAATACTTCTAGATTTTCCACTGTCTGTTAATTTACCTGAACAGATAACAAAGGCCTAGTATGGCCATCGTAATTGACAGCTTTATGGTGATCAAAAAACGATTTCACAATTGCAGGCACGTCGATAGGAGACAGTATATCCTGAACAGTCATATCAAGAGTAGCATGGATAAATCTAGCTCCAGGACCCTTGTTGCAGTCAATGAATATCAAGCTAGTATGCTGATCTTCATCTACCTGTGTTGAAAGTTGACCTGTCAACAGATAAAAATGAGCGAGAGTGCGAGAAAGAGAATCTCTGATCTTTTCCTGGAAATCTGCAATGCTAAATTTTTGATCAGTTGCAGAAGGTTTCATGAAAAGAAGACCCTTCTGAATGTAGTGAGCTGAGAGCATGGCTAGATCACCAGGTGACAAATAGTGAGGCTGTTTCGAATCATTGTCGTCGAGTTTTGGCTTGATGAAGCACTCTGAAACATGTTCGACAATTGGAGAATTCGACATTGGAAATTGTTTCACAGCAGCTGCTATTCATTAGCAATTTGCCGTAAAAGTCATAGAAAATAAATATATTAGTTATTTTTGTAATTTTGCAACTTCACAATTTTTACACTAATAACAAATAAGGTGAACCGACAAAATCAATAATTAGTTCATCAACATTTTAATTCAGTACACTAAACTAGTTCAACCAATCATCTCAACTAATTACTAATCTCAAGAAACAAATTTCTACGATCAAATTCAATTCCTAATAATTATCAAACAAGTAAAATGATCGTTAGCAATATTGTAGAAATCGGTAAGGTCTCAAAGCTCACCCATCATTGATACACAAAATATTATCTTGTAACAATTGTAGCTATAAACTAGGAAACTATCATAACCAAATAATATGATAAATATATTCTAAATAATATTCCCAATAAAAAAATCAGGAGAAAGAAAGAGGAGATACCAGAGGCAAAAGATCAGATTTTGCTGTTTCGTCTGCTATTTTGGGATTTGTTTTATAATGAGGTTTGAAGCGAGATTACTGATGAGGGTTTGTCGGAAAGCATCGCAAGAACACAAGTTCTTACCACCAGATTTATGGAGGGAGATTTTGCTTAGGTCAGCAGTCAAGACCCTTTTACGATTTAGATGTGTTTGTAAAACCTGGTGTTCTATTATTGATTCTTGTGATTTTATTTCAACATATCTCAAAATTTACAAGAACAATTGCGCTAATACTTACTTATTATCTGATGAACGTGCGCCCAAAACAAAATACGACTTCAGTTTCATAGTTCTGTCATAGTGATACAATTAGAAAAGTTACTGAATTAGTCACATATAGTGCATCACGTTGGTTTACGGAGATCGATATGGTTAATGGCTTGTTGTTGATGAATTTGCAGCGTAAAATAGTAGAGCTGAATTTGTGTAACCCTTGTATTAGAAAATCTGTGTTGCTTCCTGATTGCCCTCTTATTTCTAAATCAGATGATGTTGAACATTTAGGATTTGGTAATGATTGTAAGGTTGTTTGTTTTGAGCTCGGTGAGCTGTCGATTGCAATTGCAATCTATTCACTGCGTGATCATCGTTGGAGAGTTAAACCTAATTGGACGAATGTTCCTAGGTGATGTATTGAATTAATCGCTCACAGTAACGATGAGGTTATTTTTTCTCAAGGAGCTTTGTATTGGAAACCTCATCCTAAGTTTCAAGTAGAAGAAACTCGTATTCTTGAGGAATTTAGTTATGTGAAGATGCCAGATATTGGAGAAGTAGCAGAGGAAAACGACCAGATTTTGCTATAGATCATATTATGTTTACAACTTGTTTTTCAACTTAGGGCCGTAATATACACTGTATTAGATCACTTCAAGCGTATAATAATTTACCGATACATTATGATCTACCTTGAAAACCCTCGTCTATAGTGAAAGTTGGTCAAACCTGAGGGGGCAATATTTGCTTATGAATCACTTGACCTAGCCCTTTAATGTGGTTCAAATGGAAGTTTGCTGGTGTCACGGATAAATAGGAGACACAGCAAGAAGACATCAACAAGTTCATAACAAATTAGTAACTAGTCAACCACGAAAAATCGCTCAATCATCAAGTAATACAAGTAACAGCGAACTCTTCTTGCTTGTTAGAAGCTATTTACAGAGCTATGGACCAGTCTCAATGCACAGGAAACATTGACAATACTTATTAAACGATTTAACAAGAACAGTAACTGGCAAATCGTCTTTCTCATCCAGAGTTCAATCATCAAATGACTTCAATGTGAGATACATGGTCATTAGATGCATGCGATGGAATGACTGATTGACTAGTACAACATGAAAAATGTGACACTTGACATAAAAGTTTAAAGCTCAAGCTCCTCAGCCATCTCATCTTCCGAATAGAGGATCTCATCCTCAGAATCATATACTTCAACCCCTAGAGTTCCCCGTAACATGTTTAGAATCTGCTCCCAACCTCTAACATGTCTTTGCACCATCTCTGGTGTTACACTGATTTCATCAGATTCCTCATTACTGCTACGAGGGGCAGAGAACTTGGCCTGAGGATTGTGCACAAGTGTAAATCTTCCACTTGGATCAAGAGATTTAACCCCGAAAACAGGGTCCAAAGAACGCCCCAGAACTTGAACATGTGCCACACTGTAAAAAGCATGACAAACAGCAAAATTAAATTAGCTGCAAGATACAGTAGAATAGTTAGAACCTGGTTGGATATCCAGTAACCAGTTAACATTTATGGCCAGTATATGGGGAATGCAAACAACAAACCAAAATAGCACGACTAGAGAGTAAACAAACACAAAACAATTAATCCAAGAAATGATAAACCCTAGAATTCAAGTAATTAAATTGATCCGCTCATTCTATATTAATCTTACAAAAAGGAACCATTTAGAATTCTGAATACTTACACAAATGACAATGAGACTAAATGTTACATTCCATCTAAAAACTTGAGGAATAAGAGCATAATGGGCTTGCAAACCATAAAAGGGTAGGATTACTATTAAAAATAAAAAATAAATAAAAAATAAAGGTAAACATTGATAGGAAATAAAGCAACTGATTAGTAAGGAAAAAGATACAAGATTAAATTCCCTCAAAAATCGAAGTATAACCTAGTTCATCAATAATACCATGTCAAACCTCAAGTGTCAAACAGAATCTCAATATTTAAGTAAAAATTTGACTCAAAGTAGCACTTTTCTAGGCTTAGCTAACAGACAAAAACAAGCCATCAGTCAAAACATAGTATTATATCAATATACCACTTAACTTAGTTCCAAAACTCACCATATGTAGAAGAGTCCATCCATTTCTTGCCTCTGAACTCTACCCAGAAGCTCTATCTGCAGATATCCACCAAAGCAAAGAACAGGCTCTGGAAGCTTGAAATTTTGTAGCCGATTCTCCTGTGCCAAGAACTATATTAATAAAAACGGTCCCTAAAACACCAAATCAAAACACAAAAGTGATTATGCAATCTGTGCTAATAACACTCGTCTTTCCTTTCATTCTTTCTGTTCTAATTTCTGGATCTATTGCATGTCCTTTTTCCGGAGGGAGGAGGGGAGGGAAGATAGGTTAAGAAAATAATTCACATGTGAAAGCATCACTCAATAGCATCAAACACATTATAGAAATGAGAAGGTGCACAAATGATCCTCTTTACAAGAAAAACATCTCTATAGTTGCTTAATCACATAGGTACCAGTACCAAGCTACCAAGTGTTACATTAAAGACTCAATTTTTTCATAAAAAAAAAAATAAAAAAAATATAGTATAATTAGATGATGGCATTACTCGAAGCCAAGTCACCATTGAGCTTCACGAACAATTTCCCTCGTCATGTGATATTATCAGGTATAAGTGTATATAACACAGATTATGCATACTAGCAACTATACAAATCAGGGCTTGACCAAGGCCCTTTAACTATGCCCCGACTTCTAGGGCTAGAAGACAGGAGTCATATTAAAAGATCCTGGGCCTACTTTATAATGCAAGCACTAATGAAACGAAAAAGAAAAAGAATTCACCGGAGGAAAATACAAGCGGGTGAATAACTAGATATTGCTGGATTCAAGTGAAGCAATGACCAAGTCATTCAACCAAATGTCTTTACCAAGCAATCAAAGTGTTTACATTCTATAGGGAAGAGCAGTCAATTATTCAATAAACAGCATCAAGTGACCTAACACACCCCTCAGTCAGTTAAATGCCATATGAAAAGGGAAATGAGGTAAGATGTAAATCTCAGCTTCCCACAAATTTTTGTCATTTAAATGTAAAGTATAACGAAATTCCCACTTCCAAGAAGTTGGCACCCTCGGTTTTCACTGACATCAATAGAAATAAGACCTTAGTATCCACTTCCAAAGAGATCCCTGTTTCAACTCTAGCAAAGGTGTCTCAAATCTAAACTTATAGTATCTCTTCTGCTACTTTAATCACAGTTGAAACAACTTTCAAAATTGACTTAACAGCAAGATAAATAAGTGTGCTACTAACCTGTGTCATTGGAAAATCTTGTGAAGTGTAAGTCCAAACAAATTTTTTCTCCGCACATTCGTGGCCTTCATGAATTTCATCACATTGATCTCCATCATCATCAGGCAATATTCTGTGACCCATGTGGAAGCGAACTGCTTTTGCAGAGTATATAGGTGAATCTGATTGAAAAAAGGCTGCATGAACATTGAACAAAAACAACACAATTAGCAAACATCTAAGTGGCCATCTTAACAAAGGTTTACAAGTACGTGGGAAGAAAAGGATATTACCTTGGAAAGGTTGAACATTTATTTCAGTAATTATACAAAAGTCAGAAATTAACTGATAAGTTAGTCTCTCGGGTACTTCAGGGTTGCTTTGTCCTGAGCTTGACCAGTATGAAGGTCTACGTCCAATTCGTTCCCTGGATTCCAAAGTGTTGTGAAGACCTTCTTCCGGATAATTATCTGTGCTGGAAGCACTTATGGCATTTGAAAGGCATTCACCCACCTCTGATGATGTAAGACCCCGGGCTAAAGCAACATACGCTTTGTGTTCCTTTTTCAAATGCTCCAATTCAACAAACCGGCTGCAGCCAACATCTTCTTTGTTGCTCGTATCTATGATACGAACAATGCCAGAGAGTTTAGGAAAGAGTCGTAGGCACAAATGCTTGCATATACCATTACTTATCACTGCCAATAGTCACAAAATAATGTAAGCATATTCGTTAGTCACCATATCCTCTACTTTAGAGGAAACATGTTCCATCATCTGTATCATCATAACAGGAGTAAATCAAGCTGATTACAGTCCATATGAAGTATATAGCAGCATAACTTGAATATTGAATAATGTTAGTTAGCTAAAAATATCTGGGAAGAGAAGCAAAGAGGTGTGGAGGAACGAGCCAGTATGGCCCTATGTATGTCCAATTGCAAATGTAGTAAGGATATGCAGTGTATAATCAATCATCAATTAAATAAACTCAGTGAGACATCACTAAAATGCTTTCCAATGGTGAAATACTAATATAATTACTAAGACATGGAGAAAGTTTAATCAGGAAAAAAAAAATGTACTCTGCACAAACAAAAGGAGGGAAGGAGAAGGGTGGCAAAAGCCCTAAGATTTCGCCTTCATCTTCACCATTCAATGCTTCAAATTTCAGATTTAGGGTTTTTCAACTTAGACCTAGAAATGTTGATTTCTTTAATCAGAGATTTCAAAAACAAGGAATGTAATTATGTCACATCCAAGGCGCTATGTTATAAAAAATGGTACTAGGAACCTAATAGTCTAATACCCTATATACTGAGAACACTAGGGTAGGAGAAATAGGGAAACCTGAAAGGATGGAACAAATCATCAACTTGCACAACAAAGGGCCAAATAAAAAGGGGTTAAACCATACCCCTGCGTATCTTTCTCATTATTCATGGATACTCAAACACAGAATTTGTCTAATTCACCTCAGCCAACTGAAATAACGCATATTAGATGGAAAACATTAGACATCAACTCATAGCTGGCCTTAATCTTGAGCCTAGTAGACGGCCTTGGTGCACAAATATGACTACAATATGACAAACAAGTTCATAGCGGCAATCTGTTTCGATGCTGCTCATGATACCAAGAGCAATTTCCATTACAAAAAAGCCTTGTGCAATTGTATGTAGTTTCAAGTAAAACTGGTCTAATCCAACCAAAGCAAGTCACCTATTCTAACCAGGCACGAGTTCTCAAGAAGAGGAGTAACGCAACACCCATCTATCATAACCATCATACTTACCTTCTCTATTTCTAAACTCTGATGAAAACCCCCTCGACAATCCAAAAAAAAAAATACAGCGCATCCAGGATTTTAGTTTTAAATACTTTGGATGGAAAATCAGCCATTAATCCTACGTAAGTCTGAAGATAAGATATAACATAGGGTGGGAAATAGTTGAATAGTCAAAGGGCAAGGTTCTACTTTTACTCTCCTTATTAAAAATTTCCTTTATTGGGCTCTTTAACATTTACATTAGGTCTTTCTTGCCATCTTCACCTCCACCCATTCCCCACCTAACATTTTAGTTCATATGGATTCGTATTACACCCCTAACTCATTCTTGTCATCTTAATCAATGTGAAAGCCATGCAAACACAATACGATATAATACAATCCAATCAACTGGTTCATGAGAAATAAATAGCTTGGACATACGATCCAGTCGTACACTCGTACTACTATGAACCTAACCAAGATACATACATCTCTACATTAACCGGTAACATCAAATTCAGTTGCCACAAGCTGAATCAAAAATCACATACAGCTACCAAATGAATAGAAGAAATGTCAAGGAACATCATAAAATAGTTGCAAGAACAAATATTTGGAAATAAAACCAGCTTAATGCTCACCAAAATCACGCCACGCTCTCGACACGGAGCAGGCACGGACGATATCAGCAGGATCATCCAAGCTCATAAGTATCTTACTCGAAACATCAGGATCAAGGGATTCTAAAAAATCCCATTGAAATTCCATCATCGAATATCTCACGAACAAAACTCCGAGCTCTTTTCAGCTTCTACAACCTAACTCCCACCATCATAATCACATAATTAGAGCACCTCCATTCAACACATTACTATCAAAATTCACCCTTTTACTCAAATTATAAAACACTAACGAATAACAAGCTAATAAACATTACCTAGCAATCGAATCAATTTGATGATAGAAAAAAGGAGAAGAGAGAAAGAATGCGCGAAATTGAAGAAATGGGATGGAAAATGAAGGGATTACCTAATCTTCACCGACAGGAAAGAAATTCAGAGGAAGAATTAAAGAAACCCTAGGAGAGAGAAAATCCAAAATGATGATCGCCCCTTTTCTTTTCTTTTCTTTTCCTTTCCTTCTCAACTCGCAAGATAGATAGATAGATAATACTTGAATGTAACGTTTGCGTTGCAAGCCAAAGATAATCTTCAATTGTTAATGATTTTATTAAAATTTTCACTAAAAAATTACTTTTTTTTTAATGGCAAGGTTTTGACTTTTAGTCATTTACATGGTTTAGATTTAGATTTACTTGTGTAGGCATGTGAAATCTTAATGTGTATTAACCAGCATGAAACTCTTGATGTAACAATTAAAAACGAGGATGAAGTATTTCTTCCAAATAAAGTTATGTTAATTTGTAATTGTAGATATTTCACTTTGGGTTCAAATGGAGTTCATGGGTCACATTTGTATCAAACATGGCCAAAATTAGATCTTGGAGTTACAATATTGGAATACTAGTTGTAAAGAATGTCTTTATCCTAAAACAATTAGTAATAGTTCATATAATATACGGTTTTTTCAACATATATCCTTGAGTTTTTTGTTTATTCACCATATACCCATGAAAATTTTCAACTTCATTATATACCCTTAAGTCGTTACAAAAATTCACCATATACCCCTAATGATAACAACATGAATGGAATTTTGTTAATTATGCATTGAAACCACATTAGATCTCTCCCCCCTCCCCCCCATCCTCGAAACCACTCCTCTCCTTTCTCCAACCCCCAACACCACTCCAAATCTCTATGACTATATCCGTATGATTGATTTTGAGGATGAAAAAAGGAAATTTAGGGTGGCTTTGGGGGTGGGAAAAAGGAATGTGGGTGACTTCAGGGGTAGGCGAATGTATTTAGGGTGGTTTTAGGTCAAATTACCCCTAATGACTGACGAAATTAACAATCATGAGTCATCAAGGGTATATGGTGTATTTTTGTGAAAACTCGGGGGTATATGATAAATCTAAAAAAGTTCAGGGTCTAAAAAAGTTCAGGGGTATATGGTGAATAAACAAAAAAACTTAGGGATATATGGTAAAAAAAAACCGTATAATATATGATTTGTAAATTGTAAGGATTAAGGAACAAATATTGTTGCAAAAAAAAAGATTTTAAGTTACTATGGGACTTGAACTCTTGATAACACGAGCTTTATTCTTTTAGTACAGTATATTAAATAATTAAAAGCGGACATTGGAGATTTAGTCAATCGGTAAAGGGTATAGGTGTAGACATTGGCTTAGCTTAAGCATTTGTTTGCACAGAGAAGGGGCCTATTAAATTATGGACATATAGTAAGCTTGTTTAGAGGTAACAATCTACTGCATCTTTGCTCGTTACTTAAGATTTTGCTTCACTCAAAAGTTTCCACTACAACCTTGTGGCGTAACTAAATCAAAAGTAGTACCAAAACTGCTGCTGATAAGTGCCTTTCTCAATGGCCCAACGCCTCTCAAGTAGTCTCAGCCCCAAAGTATAAAATTTTTTACTTTTTGTGATCTGTCATCGTTGCACTGTCTGCCTATGTACATATTTGCTCCGAAAAGCGAGACTATTTAAGTGCTACTATATCATCTACACGTGGCTCAAGCGTCTCTAAACAATGTTTGTCTGCCTATGTACATATTTGCTCCGAAAAGCTAGACTATTTAAGTGCTACTATATCATCTACATGTGGCTCAAGCGTCTCTAAAAAATGTTGGAATGCCAATATGCCATCAACCCGGAGCTTATGATGTACTGGGGAGTAGGGAACCTCATCATGTAACTGATGTAAGGCATAACCATAGAACCAACTTAGCATCAGCGATGAGTTACCACATGATGGAAACATGATAACTGATTTATAACTCTCGCCCATTGCACTATCTATGCAAACTGAAATACATAATACTATGTACATATTCTTCGACGGCTATTGCCTTACTGGATATTCAGATTTGATACCTATATCTATATGTATATATTGGACATGCACTTGTTCTGTATATACATGAACAAAAAATGACTAAACACAAAAAATAATAGCCTTGAACCCTTAACTCACTGCCTTCTCCAAAGCAAACATAATCTGAACATAATTATGGTACAAAATTTAAACAACTTAAATACAAGAGCTTTTGAAAACCGAACAAAAATATCTTCTGGAGTACTCTTAAAAAAAACCTACTACCTTCTGAATTCCTAGATCACTTATACAGTAGAAATGCTAAGGATCACTCAATCTTCATAACAGAACAACTATGAGCTAATGAAGCCAAGCTCGCCCTAGAAAAACAGACATCTTGACTATGTACATGAAAAAGCCCTTATACAAGTATACAGCCAACCTACTATAATGAACAACTACTCTGTTTAGTTCTATCATTTTTCTCACTATATGACATATCTAAGAAAATTTATCTAACTTTATGGGCTATACTCTTGGGTAAAATCATGACAGAATCGAAAGAGAGACCACCTTTGATGTGGGTACAATCGATTTGCCTAGCTGAAAACTTGATCTTTGTCAATTTATCAGGTTCCTTGATGACAAAATCTCCTGAATGGTAGAGGATCCATGATCCTGGAGTATCCAAGTAGCACTCTGACGAAGCATGCTGACCGTCTGATGTTGTCAGCTGGAATTGGACAGGTCTTAGGTTCCATCCATGTATATGTTCAACATTACATGAGCGACGACCAAACCTCTTAGAGGACTTGCCTAGCTGGATTCGAAAGAATAGACTATATGTCCCTACTGGGAATTTGAATTCAAGTTCCCCACACACTTCAAACCACCAAATCTGAAGAAGATATGCAACTGTCTGAAATCTACTAGCAGAAAAGAAATTTAATCAATCAACCGCTTCATTCCATATCTACTATCAATAATAGAATTACAGAAGATCATACCGATTCACAATAATTGAAAAACACAAACATCAACAGTGTCTAAAGCAACTTCTCCAAATTAAGGAATATATTCACCAATTCAGGAATTCAAACTTTCTAGACAGCGTATCTACCAGTTCATTTTTCTTTGTTCGCATTTGGTGTATTATGATAAGGGCGGTCATAAACACCCCCCCCCCTCTCTTTTTCTGTACATAAATTTCTTGTTTTCTCTCTATTATTGTAGGGGCACACCGCACATGGTCTAATAAACCTAAACAGGTTTTGATCAAGTATCAGATACCATTCTTTCGATGATTATAGTTCCTAAATGCCTATTCTGAATGTGACAGCAAGAAACTACGAAAACCTTTGTTTTCAAGCAATGCTTCCACCAAAACGTCAAAGTAATAACCATTTTAACATTCATACAAACAACATTTCTAGGAAAAAAACAGAGACCAATGATTGACTGGTTCAATTCCAAAACGCTATACATAGTATTAGCTTTCTAATAGCAGACAGGGGAGCTAAAAGGAGCCTAATTTACTGTTACCTTGAGAATTTTCATCACTGACTAGCAACACAAAAATTGGAAATCATGAAACTATTGGCAACTCTATATACTAACAAGCTGATTTCGGGATACCAGCGCCTAATATCAACAGATTGGTCAGCAACTATTCGGACTCTTCATTTCACCAAGGTCCCTATGTCAAATTCTCTACACTCAAACATGGATATAGAGACTTGACTCTTCATTTAAACAAAAACCAAAAAATATGGAATTATGTTAAATATAATAGACATGTTTAGCACTTGGGAGTACATTGTGACCAAAATCGATTGAAAAACAAATGTTATAAATATATTCATTGTGAAACCAAAGATGTGAAAGCATGCAGCTCACCTAGATTCCTCGGTGGGAATGTGATTCCAGTACCGCCTGTCATCTATACCAGTAATTGACAAGGCCTTAGATGATATCGACACACATACACCTCCAGTATTCTTGTCCAGCCATAATTCCTATCAAACAGAATCCAAAAAAACAAATCAGTATAAAGTTTCATACAGATTACAGAGTTTTTTGAGTAGTTGATGTCTTTATTAGGCTATTATACAATTTTAGACTGATGGATGTAAGAACGTTCACAACTTCACAACCAATCAATTCATCTACAACGTTATACTTGTATAAATCAAGCAGTTAGTATCATTTTCACAGTAATTTCAGAACAACCAAACATCTGTATATCAGGACAGCCTAATAGACGGCTAATTAATCCTATACAAACATCATTGTTATAATGATTATTAGCTGCTCTACTCCACAAAAGTTTCACACGTTTGTCAACATCGAAAGTGACATTATCTTAGTATCACAGTACTCCTAATAATCACACATTTTAGCTTCTCTAGTGAAGCACCTTAATCTTATCCTTATTGGCAAAAAAGCTTTTCAATTATATAGCAATTCTTTGACAAAAATCAACATTTATACAAGAAAAAAAATCAAAGGACATCAATTTCGAGTGAAACATCTAACCTACATAAAACACCTGTACGTACATTCCCTCTTTTCCTCCAATAATACAAAAGACTGCTTATGATCGACGTAATGTAATTTTTTTTTTTTTTTTATCTTGTCCGCTTATATACATATGAACAGATCCTAACATAAAATTATTGGACTAAGGTAAGATTTTGTTGTATTTTACGTATCATTTTCAAATGATTAATCCAGCATTCACATCTCACTAAGCTCGACTTCTGCATATACAACTAACACAAAGTACAAGTATAATGAAACAAACTTGACCTTGAAGAAAAAAAAAAAAAAAAAAAAACGCATATTTGTAAAATGAGTCAAAACTCAAAATTAAATTGACAATATATCACCAACATATTCATTAATCTAAAAAAAATCTTTTAGCCTATCATCAAAGAACCCATTCAAGTTGTTCAACCAAAAATCTAGCGGAAGGTACAGTTACTTAGAGTCTCTCAATTGGTTTCATATTCTATCACGCGCTCTCACAACATTGAACATTGCTCTATCAGCTTGAAGTTTGGATGCAGATGAGTCGTCTTCTAATACTCAACACTAAATTTAACCAATAAATATACTCCTATTATAAGGGATTTTTATATAAATTTGCCACCTTTCATTTAAAAATCCTCCATCCCTAGCTATAATTTTGCACAAATCAACAAACTAAACCAATTACACAAGTGATTGTCATTTTTACCTTTATCTTACAAATATAGTAAGTAAGTTTTTTTGTAAAGAACATGTGAATGTATTCATTGTTTCTTCTGTTAACCAAAAAAAAAAAAAATATATATATATATATATATATATATATAAACACCACTAATAATTTTGAATTTCATTTTCTTAAATTATTTAATCAATTAATTAATTTTTTTTGTTACTCAATGGTTAGCATTAAGAGTTAAAGACTATCAAGAATTCAGAACATAAAATACAATCACCATCCATAATTAGGTTAGCATAAACTAACATAAAACATTTAGAAATATTTCCTCCCACCGGATTTAAACGTCACGTCCGGTTGTTGACACGTTCAAATTACGCTATTAATGTGACTATAAATTTTAAATGCGCAATAACCCGTAAGCAAAAAAGAGAAGCTAGAGAATATGAATCACCTTAGTGCCGGAATCAAAAAGGTTTGGACGAGAAAGACGGGCAAAAATATCCTTCTTAGTTAAACCCATCAATTTATTATTATTCATACTACCATAATTCTTCTTCTTCATATCATCATCATTATCATTTTCATGATTCAACTCAGAAATCTTATCAACTATGAATGAGTAATTTGAAGGAAGTTTTGTATTCCAAATAAAATCAGCCGAAGAAGCGCCACGAAAGGCCCGATTTAATCGGGCCAACCGGCAAATCTCCGGCGGGTCAAAATGGCCCAACACCATAGCTATACAACTTTCCGGTATGTCTTCAAGTTTCCGACGACGTCCCGGCGAATCTCCACCGTCGGTGGAGGATTCCGATGAAATTCCTGCACCCATTTTTAAATATTTTGGAGAAATGTGATTTGTTGGAGGAGAGGAGAAAAATGGTTGTGTATGTTATAAATAAGTAGGCTTTATCCATAATTTCGTGATTTATATATGACTGCTATTTTGGTGGAATATTTTGTATGGTTCACGCCCTTTGGAAATTGCGTGCCTATAACGCTCCTTACCAAAGTCGCCACAAGATCGTTCGGTATCAATGTATCATTAAACACGTAGCTACTAGGTAGCGGGTTATGTTCTTTTCAACTTAATATATGTATTGGGCTAATGAATGATGAACTGTTATTGTTTTCCTTATTATAACTTGTAGATTTTTAAGTAATTAATGAATTCATAATTTAAAGTCATACAAAGGTTACAATCAAATTCAAAATCACAAAAAAAAAAAACATATCGAATTAGACAAATTATATTTTTTCAAGGAAAATTAGTCTTCGTGAATGAGAAATGACATATTTACATATCTTTTTCCATACAAATTGTTGTTTAATAGTGGTCTATTAATCTTGCGTAGTTTTGTATGTAAAGATGTCGGATGTGTGAACCTAGATATTAGCTATGAACCATACCTTAGCTTTGATGGTTATATTTCTTTAATTTTAAGCTTATTCTAAACCAAATGGCTAAATTTTTAATATGTTTCATCACAATACACATCACATGTTATGTATAAAAATTATAGTCAACAGTTTACAAATTTCAGGTTGAAAAGTAAATTTTGACAATTTGGTTGAAATATTTGAAACAAATGGAATAAATGGTGAATTATGGAAAGTAGAAGTATGTATATAAGAAACACTACAATACATACGTTGGCCAATAGAAAAAAGAAGGGAACAACTACAACTACATCATCCATGAAGTGTAATATAGTTACTAGAAATATGTATTACATGAGAATATTCTTAATGACGAATTTGCGTGCACTCCAACGAATTTGCGTGCTGTATAAAACATATTTATATACAGGCTGCTATTTTGGTAGAATAGAATAATATCTAGTCGTAAACTCGTACAAAATATAAGCAAGACTGCTTTTAAAGATTTATTAAATTGTTGTGGAGTAGTGATAGTGTTTAAATACTTGATTAACAAGAAATTAAAAGAATTTCTATGTTCTTATCTTGAATCCATTGTAAAATAAATAAGTAAAAATAAAAAATAAAAAATAAAAATTGATTGAAAGATGTTAATCAGAGCTATATATATATTAATTATTATTTAGAAGTAAGATCGATAAGAGTTTAATTTTCTAAGGAAAAAGTCATCCAAATATTTGCATTTATATTTTCAACATACTATGCATTAATGCTAAATACTTCAATTCGTATGAAATTTCTTATGTTACTAGTATAAATTTCATTCATTAAATAAATTATCTAGAAAGACTGCCCTGATATATAAGTAAATGAAAGTAATTTCATGCATTAATAATATTAAATATAAATTTCTTATATTTTATTAATATCTCAGGCAGTAATATAGATACAATATAATACATAATTACATAAAATTAAATAAAACGAAGGATTTCTTGATCTTGATCCGACTTCAATACACACATTACTTGGTTATTGTAATGATATACAAGTAATAACGAATGTCATTATTGATTAATTAGTCATAAAAGTGAAAATATATATTTGGATATGTTAATATTTCGATCAAATCTTGCATTTATATAATAATTATAGTTAAGGTAATCGATGAGCGTAATTATGCCCATTACGAATTATAGGCAGTAATGGTACTTAAGAAAATCTTTTCTAATTACGGGACGAAAACAAAGACAAGAATGGTACTTAAGAAACAAAGTCAGACACTATCAATCATGGGACTTAAGTTAACTGTTTAGATTTCCAGTTGTCATTAACTAAAACATTTTAAAATAATAAGACAAGCTTAATTACATGGCTGTTTTCCACATGCTAATGATAGTGATAGATATTAAATGTTTAATGGATTGTTAAGTTTGATCACATACAAACTCTAGTCTGCATCTCTATAACTCTATTCTATAACCAATTATATTGATAATATCGTCTTTCTTATATTTTGATGAGAGACAATTAATCCCAACATACATGTAGAACGTAGATTGCGAGTTTGACAATGAAGGATAATTAAACAAAGTGGGGCCTCTAATCCCCTGATATTAACTTGGAAGTAGCCCTTAATTAATTATTAGGCTTGTTTTAGTACGCTACGTATGCCACTAGCAGTTTAGCACTACCTATCCTATACTCATACGGCCGACATTTAAATTTCGTGGATAGCAATTTTTTTTATATAGTATTTTTTTTTGTAATGAAGATATAGTATTATAGAATATCAATTAAATAATTTTTTCTTTTGGTAGAAAAAAATAGTTTTAAATTAGACTAAACAATGCTCAGTCTAATAATATTTATGTATCATTCATAAAAATTTAACTAATTAAGATTTATTTTATTATTTTTCTATCCGATTTGATTCTTCTCCCAAGTATTTATACTCCGTATTAGACTTGCTTAACCTATTACTGAAGTTCCAACCAATGGTGATTCCTACGATTATTTAGCTTCGAAAGTAGAACTAAGTTTACATGTCGAACCAAGAATTGAAAGCTCGTCTTTAGTTTGACTCAATAACCTAAGAATATAGAAAAAAGTTTAATAAGTACTTTTCAAAATTTTGCTCCATAGAGTATGGAATACTAGATTTAAGATAATTCACCTTGTTTACGTATTACATAATTAAATAATTTTGTATTGACATATTATATATGCAATATATTCCTATACTATATATACACATTACAAAAATGCATGTCATCAAACATTTTATGTGGCGAATCTAAGCAACTATTTGATTCACACATTGCAATAATACCAAATTTAGTTGATCTTATCCAATTCTATAGTTCTATTACACCCAATAACATTATTATTAGGATAATTAATTACACTTTTCTAACTCTGTAATCTATTTTTAATTGTCCCCTTTGCTTTCATGTGAAAAAGAGAATCTAACCACTTAGAAGTTAATTTATTCTTTAAATTTTCCACTCTATTCCAGATGATTACTAACCATTTTTAATTTATTTTTGTGTCACATTCACTTCTTAACAAGAGGTGTCTTTTCATCTTAGTTTAAGGGCAAAGAAACATTAGGACAGCTTTTCCTACATTAGAAAAACCTAAAGTGAACATGCTATGCCAACAAGGCATAAAGGTCCATTATTAGAATTTTTTGGATTAGATTAGTAGAACTAATTATTATTAAGAGACTACTTTACTAATTGGCACAATAATGACCATATATAAAATATACGTAGTACACTAGTACAAAGTATATAAGCTATTGTAAGTTTCGTCTTTAAAGTTATAGCTATTAAGTCGAAAATTTCATGACTTGATCACTAGTATTTGATGATCGACTTTATTAAATTTGAAATGTTTAACTTTATCTTCTTATCAACGATATTTAAATTATGTATATCATTCTGCCTAATTGTTATTTATTACGGGTAATATTTTTAACAATTTATAATGAAGGGAATATATAGAAAATTGTCTTAATACCCAAATATTTTTTAAACACTACTTGCAATTATATGTTATTTCTACTAGTAGATATTATTTCTAGTAATTGCACCAATTATATCAGACAAAACCTTAATCTATAATACTTAATATTATAATTAGGGTATTGAAAGATCTAGAAGTGGAGAATTATTGTGCATTATCGAGCATGATCTAAGCTATTCCATTATTTGTTTGTCTAAACAACACAAAAAATACAAATATTATAATTCAATGATTTTTAATTGAATTTATGACGTGGTAATGAGTCAGCTACACACTTGAGCCACATATATAAAATATCTGCCATGTTTCAGCTAATCACCAACATAGCATGCTTTGTCATCAACAAAATGAACACCACAAAGTGAGGAAATCAAAATTATTTGTATTTAATTATTTGGTTATTGACTAGTTGACTACCAATTTAGCCGACTTGTAAATTAAAACAAGATAGAGAGTTTGTTCCTAGTTTCTTACGGAGTAAAACGGGAAGGCTAAGAAAGATTCATGTGCAACTTTTTAAACTAATATACTTTTCAAAAAAAAATTAAGAGTAAAAAAAAGGTGTACATTCAATTGAAAATATTCTTAATGGTTATGCTTAGGATCAAAATAAAACATTAATCATTAATTTTTTTTTTAATAGAATAAAAAGGCATATGAATACAACATTAACCACTGGTATCATTTTGATAAAACTTTAGAAATTATTCTACATTTAAATTGATCCAATAACAATTTTTTATGATAACATACTAATACATGTGATCGATTTATAAACAGACAATAGTCAAATTATTGCAATTATATGGAAAAAAAAATGAGCCAATACTTTTTAAATATTTCAATACATAAAATCGATCTACTTTCACCAAAGTTTGTAGTCATCAAGAGTACTAAAAAAATTCGAAAATTTGATAATTATCTTCCTCAATAACCAATTCTTACAATTTATGATGCTTGAGTTAGTTCAAATAAGTGTCACTCTCATTATAAATTAATCGAAAACAAAATTTATGTGTCGCAATCTAACAATAAAAGTAGGTCCAATTATAGCAAAAAGAAACAACATTCTTTATTATTATCACAAAGAAAACTTAGGGTTATGTATAACCAAGCTCCCCAATTCAACCAACCAAACGTAACATACTTCTTAGAGTAATAAGCTTGTAGAAATGGATAAGTGGATATACAAGAATTCTAGTCAGAAGACTAATTGAGAGCCTTACCAAACATACAAGAGGCAAGCAACGTCTTCTCGTATCGAATCACAATCATACGATCTTTGAATTATTATGCTTAGATTTTTATCCGTATTCGTAATTACGAGTAAGGTGTGTCTGAATGAATAATTTTGATGTACAGCTAGTACATGAACCTGATAAATTTTTGGTCTTGATTGATTAGTGATTGAGTGAATTGAATAATAACAAGCTCTAACAATCGTTTAGAATTTGAAGTTTTGAACAATAACAATCAATTATTTGAGATAATAATTCTGAACAACTTGTATATGCATATATACATAGTAACATTTTAAATGATACAAT